ACTTGTAGTGCTGCTTGCCTGCGTCCTCTCACCGAGACAAGTTGTTCACTGGTTTGATTAAAGTTGGTGAGGTATCTCTCGGAGAGATTTCTGATTTGAGACCTGAAATTACCTTGAAAGGGGCCTTACTGGCCTCACTTAAAATTGCTTGGTACTAGATACTGGTGAGAGGACATAGAGGATGAGCTTTTATGGCACGGCTGTTCGGCATATCGAAAAAAAAATGAGGGAAGGGGGGGGGCAGAGCCCTAGAAAGAACTAGGGTAGTCAAAGCTTTCTGGCTGTCTTGCCTCACGCTTCCGAGTGGCAGTAGTGCCGCAGTCTTGCAACTGTTGGCTTACCCACTGTACCTGGTAAGAACCCAAGAATCCACCTCTCTAGTAATTGTGGAGTGTGTCATCAAATAAGTTACTTCTCTCCGTTTCTGCGAACAACATATTCAGTTTCATGTTTTAGATGCAAGTCTACAAGAACTGGCGTCTCGTTACCCAGACACCAGGTCGGCGGTAGCTCGTGAGACTGATAGCGCCCTTTGGCTACGTTTTGGACTGTTGCAACCGAAGACGCAATTCGACATGCAGCTCAAATTGGCCATGAAGTGAGTCATCGTTAGATTATCAATATTGAGAAAATTCACGTATTATTTTCTTTTTAGGGGAATCAGGGTATCAGGTGCAGATCGAAAAGATGGTCAGGCTAGCGGTGGTAGTACTCAAAGCACTCCCCGAAACATACAGCGCGATTCCATACAAGTTCGGCGCACTAATTTCCCGGCATTGAGTAGTATTATTCAAAAGCCGGCACAAGAACCCAAAGAAGATCAGCGATCATCATCACAACCACAGACACCGACCAGCAATCAAAACCTTACTCAGCACTATATCAAGCCATTTGTGCTGGTCAATGTAAGTCTGGAATACACAGGTTTCATTTGGCTTTTGATTTATTGATTTCGTGGTCTTCAGAACATGCTCCGATGCAAGTTCTGTGCCCACCAAACAAGTACACCTCAAGCGATGAGGGATCATTTACAGTCCAATCACGTTCTTGTGTGCCGTGCTTGTGGAAGTACGTTGCTGTTCCGCTTTTTACATTTGTTTTTACTAGTGGCTCATGAATGCCCACGTATGTGACGGTTTTCAGATGGGTTTGCTCACCGCGAAGCGTTGACACGGCACGGAAAAATGGGACGTTGTTCGATGTTCTTCAAAGGTATTTACTGAATTTTTTTTCCATTTCAGAAGATGCCGGAAATCCCCTCCCAGGTCTAACAGTTTTACAATAACCTGTTTCATTGGCAAGATTTTGGGGATGAGGTGGCGCCGTACGGTTCGGAGGGGGCACTTACATCATTGTCAGTTCTCCCGTTAGATGATGTTAACTAACGGGGTCTGGCTTTGGTCAAGCCTGTACACTCCTGTGAAGCTGTGAAGTTTTAAGTGTGAGCTATTTGCTCAAAGGAATTTGCAAGTCCTCACAGAGTTGCCAGTACACGATTAGCCAGGTGCCATTCGGTACCCACATCAAGCCGAATTGCGCCGACTGGGCTTGTTTATCTGTCCTTCAACGACACGATTCCGCCTTGACCATGTGGGCGGGTCATGTGCATAGTTGCACTTTCCTTATTGGTGCACTTTTTCTCTATGCTAGCTCAGAAAAGGGATGATGCTGAAAAAATGATCCGTCGATGGAAAGGGTTTGCTTGTCTAATGACAAGTAACTTTACCCAAAATACCAGTTAGGAATGTGCTTTTATGTCCATACTATCAGCAATAGATTTGCTGGGATTTCAGCCTAACCAGAGCTGTTCTGCTCACTGTAAAATGCTATTTCAGATGCGTCAGTAAAGCACATCTCGGCTGATTGTGGTGTGTGCAAGAAGCGGATGTCATTGGCAAACGCATACCTTCATCTGTTCCGTGAACATCTCAGTTCTGTGGTCTACGGCACAGTTTCTGGACAGGTGTGCTACCGTTTCGGCTTAGGAAAAATGGATTTTTGACAATTATTGACTGGTTCCAGGTCTATCCAGAACATCAAAATCTGCATATCGATGCAAGTCTTGGTGAAGCGACAAATGTTGTAAAAGATTCCGTCATCTACTCACCGTCAATCGATCAACAGCATTCGAAAGAGCGAAGTAGCCGTGATGTGGTTGTGTATAAGAGACCAACTCACGTAAGTTCATTATGTCTCGAATTAAACTACTCTTATGTGGCAAAGCGGTGTGGTGGCAGGTGAGCACTTACCACGCGCGCTGTCTGGGGGTCAAACCTCTTATAAGTTCCCGCCGGGCCAACAAATCTTCTACCCTCCGGGACTGCCTCACGGGCTGGCCCCCGTAAGTCATTGTATAGGCCACAGCGCCTTCAGTAAGCCACGGCGATCGGAATGGAAACAGTATGCCCACCGCATCCCAAAAAGGGACAGATTAACCGTGAGGACTTTATCCTTTTATTTTTTATTGCGCTTCTTTAAGGTGGTCTGTTCGTGTTATCTGTGCGGTATGGAGATGGTTAGCCTTGAACAGTTGCAAAGGCATCTCAGTAAACGCACAGATAACACGAACAGACCACCTTAAAGAAGCGCAATAAAAAATAAAAGGATAAAGTCCTCACGGTTAATCTGTCCCTTTTTGGGATGCGGTGGGCATACTGTTTCCATTCCGATCGCCGTGGCTTACTGAAGGCGCTGTGGCCTATACAATGACTTACGCGGGCCAGCCCTTGAGGCAGTCCCGAAGGGTAGAAGATTTGTTGGCTCGGCAACTTATAAGAGGGTTGACCC